TTGTGTGACCTTGGACAAACCATTTCCCATCTGCTTCAGTTTTTTCCTCAGTGAAATTAAAGAGGCTTTGGAAAAGACGGTCTCTGAGGCCCCTTGTAATGCCGGGTAATATTCTATACTGATACTAAGTATTCTAGGAATTAGAGAAAAAAGAGATAATTATGGGCTGGCCTGGCCAGCCCCTTATCAGAGACAAACCTCTTGCTCTTATGGGCAACACACGCTGGTTCAGGTCCCATTTCTGTGTTCCTGGGCACGAAAACCTAAGTCCTCTCCCCCCTCCTGCTTCTAGTCATCAGATGCTGGTATACACCCTCATCACTCCTGACCCATCAGCCTCCTTTCCCCCTAAAGCTTTGGCAGCTGGCACTCTGCAGGAAGCCTCAGAGTGCTAGTGCAGCAGTGAACGGTCAGCCTCCTGTGACAAGGAGGGCTGGGGGTGGAAGGGAGGAGAGAAAAGGGAGGGAACTGGGAAAATACCCACATCCACCTCAGCCTACAAGGCTCCGTGAGCCTGAGCACACAGCCCAAACATGACCCAATATGTTGGAAAATAGACAACGGCCGACGGCCGAATAAGCAAAACAACATTTAGCTTCCTGCCAATTACATCAATTACACTGATCTTGTCTGACAGGGGAGGGGCAAGTTGGTGGCAGCCATTTACAGAATCAAAAAGCATTAGAGCTAAAAAAGATCCCTAGAATATATTTCAGTATTTCAGAGCTTCAGTGGGTGTTAGATCTCATCAATGTGGGTACTCTCCCTAATAGTGCAGATCTTAATCCCTCCATGCCTTTCCATCTTGACCACTCTTTGTCCTCATCTTCCCGTCAGTCTTCCACATAAAGGCCTTCCCCTAGAATCTTGACATTCCGTAGATACCAATGCAGTGCTGGCACTCAACTCAGCTTCTATTATCCTTTACTTTTATTACATAATTAGTCCAACTTTTTTTTCTTATCTTACGTCTCCTAGATAGCCTTTACACTAATTCTTGTAATCAAATCATCCTTGAAGATATGCTGGAGCAAGCTCCTTCCATGGATTTCTCTGTTACTCTTTAGGTCACCTACAAGTCTGATTCTTCAGACACGGCCATTTTCCATGACCAATAAAAGAATATGAATATGAAAATGATAGTTTGTGGGGGGGGTATGACTGGGGATCATGTCCTGATGGGCTCCATCAGTGAGCTGCCCACTCAATTGCATACCATAGTCTGATCAATAGGTATTCACCCATTTGATTTTCCCTATGTTGTGTGTTAGACGGATCTTTTTTGACCATGAATCTCACTGAGAAAGCCCTACTGGTCTTGATTCAATTAAGACAGCATTGCCCACAAATAGAAACATCTTGAGTATCTGGTTATCAATAGAGAACCTTTCTTCCACTTGGACTCTGTGCAGAACATCCTGCATTATAGCAGTAAATACATTTATGTTTCTAGTTTGAAACTGATGATCAGAAGATCATCAAACGTAATTACCTCCTACCTTTTCTAGCTTTGCGTCTATCAAGGAATCTTGTATGATATTGAAATGTTCATGAGAGACACTTGGCTGGAGATAAACCTTTCAGGATGTATTCTGCCCTACAAAGTCAATAAGTTTTAATAAGTTTAAATAGTCAATTACAAAGACAGCAGGATTTTATACTTTTCAGGCAATTGTGTAACTGAAGATATAGTCTGCTCTAAAAAAATCATTCACGAAAGCCTGCCTGTTCTTATCTCATATTTTCAGCAAGGATACCATCAAAATGTGTATTCTCATGAAGATTTTATGGCTACAAGACACAAGTCTTTTCCTGAATCTCTTTAAAAAAAAAGATATCACACTGTTAACTCATATGTTATTTTTCAGACAAACTGTCTAGCCATAGCTCTGCTACCTTATAGTTGTACAGTTTATATATTTAAGTATAGGATTTTACATTTATCCCCATAAAATATCATCATATTGGGTGCAGCTAAAATTTTAACCTGTTAAGATCTTTATGCATTCTGATATTGTCATCCATTATGTTAGCTAGCCTTCACCTCATGTTATTTGCAAATTTAAGAAGAATGACATCCATGCCCTGATCCAAGTCATTTATAAAATTGAATCAGAGCTAAGTATGTATGCCTGTGGCAGTCTACTAGAAACCTCCCAACTGGTTAACAATAATGCATTAACCATAACACTTTGGGTATAGTAATTCAGCCAGCTTTAAATGCACTTAATGGTACTACTATCTTGCCCACATCTCTGCAGCTTATCCACAAGGATATCATGAAAGATTTTATCAAATGCTTTGTTAAAATCCAGATATATTAATATCTGCAGCATTACCCTGATCTACTAATCTAATCACCCTTTTAAATAAGTAAACGAAATTGATCTCGCATTGTCCTATTCTCAGTGAACTCAAAATCCTTTTAGGGATCCCTCACATCCCTATCTGAGCGTTCATAAAAATATTCCTTTAGTATGTTTTACAATTTGTCTGGGTAAGTTGGAACTAGATTGTAGAAGGCCTCGAATGGTAGGTTAGAGAAGTTGGATTTTATCCTATAAAAATGGGGTCCAAGGGAATGACATACTCAAAACTGTGCATTAAGAAGACTAATTTCTTAGTTTTTGAAGGATGGGCTGGAGAAGGGAGACATGAAGGCAGGGAAGTCAGTTAGAGATACCCTCAAGGAATAATTGGCAGAATAGGACAACTGACTGAATTTGAGAAACAAAGTAAGGTGAATGTAAAAATATAAATACTCCCAGGTAGTATAGCAGGACTTGAAGTCAGAATGCCAGCACCATCTCTAACCAGCTATGTGAAATTTACCAAACCAACATTCTGAACCTCAATTTCATCCTCTGGAAGATAGGGATCATAAGATTATACTACCTGCATCACAGTATTGTTATGGAGACCCAATTAAGCAATGGAAACAAAGTGCTCTAGAAACTTCAAAACACTATGTAAAAGTAGCCTAATATTATTATTAGTACTTTTCAGTAATAATTAACACTAATCTCATTATTACTATTGCAGGTCTTACTCTGGTGCCTCAGTTTGGTGTGGGAGGGACCCAAATCAAATTATGGAAGAAGTGTATGAAGAGAACAAAAGAATATAGAATGTTATGAATAGGGCCTGGATCTATGATTTCAGTGGCATAGGGAACTTCCTGTAGAGAAAACTCCCTCCATCAATGCACGCCGACACCTTTCCTGCATGGGTAGTCTTGCGAATTGCCTAGGATACTGAACTATTGACTTACACCAAGTCACAAAACCAGGTTATGTCAAAAGTGGGATTTGAACCTGGTTCTTCCAAGTTCTGAGGGAGGCTCTCCATCCACTACGCCATGGTGTTATTCTACTTCTAAACGCTATTCAATTTAATGACCCATGTAGCAGAAGAAGCAAGAGAAAGGTAATGATATCTTCATTCACACGAAACAATAAATTAACAAGTATTTCGTAAGCACATTTTATGTGCTTCATCCTGTGGGGGGAGCCACGGGGGAAACAGAAGTAAATGTTGTGCTCCATACCCTCAGACTGCTTACAGTCTAGTTGACAAGACAATGTTTAGACACAGGAAGCATCTAGAGCATAAGTACCAGTATTTATGTAGCTTTTTAAGGTAGATTCTTTTACACATATCATCTCATCTGATCCTCCCCATAATCCCGGGAGATAGATGTATTACCTCAATTTCATAGTTGAAGAAACTAAGTAAGCACTGAGAGATGAAGTGAGAGTAACGTAAAATACCCAGGTCCTTAGTGATCTGAGGAGGGAAAGGTGTCTCCAGATGGAGAGGTCAGGAAAAGCACTAAAGAGGAAGGAGGACTTGAGCTGGGCCTTGAAGGATGGGTAGGATTTTGGTCATCGGTGAGAAGAGAGGACATTCCTGGAGGGAAGAGGAGGAGAGAGCATCACTGATCTTCTCGGCACACCCCATTCTGCCAGAAGCGAAGGAATGACTTTGATTGGCCACTACAGAATCATCAGGAATACAATTGTACTTTGGGAGCCAAAGGCTTTTACTGACCAAATGTCTACATTCCCTTCCTTCTGACACCACTCAGTCCCTAATCCTGCAGCATGTAAACTGCACAGGGGGAAAAAAGACAATATTTCTAACTTGCTGATCAGATGGGGCCAAACTAGAAACCGTCTGCTTCCATTAGAAGAAAGCTCAGGAAAATAACATGCAGCCCTGTTCTGCAGCTCTCCCCCACCGGGGGACTTATAAGACATGAGATTATGAGACTAAATGTCATTTTCTATAGGGCTGATGGGAGAGGCTTCAATTAAATAATAGAACAATCCTATGAAATACCTTGGCACATTTTATGAAGCTATTGACATTTTTGCAGGCTTACCCAATGAGGCAGCAGGCTCAGGGAGGGGTTTGGAGATTTGGTTCTGTTTTGCCTCAAAATTATATACCTACCACCAGGGAAAGGGAAAGTTATGAAGGGCTTAGTCACAAAGAGAATACAATAATGCCGTGTTTCTCTGTGAATTTTCCAGATAACCAAAACAGTATAAAATACCGGAAAGAGTACTGGGAACTGGGAAGTAGGAAGTCTGGGTTGAAGCACCAGCTCTAACATTAGCTTTTAGTAAGACAAATCACTTCTCCAGGCCGCAAGTTCTGTCCATCTAAAAAATTAAGAGACTAGGATTAGATCATTCCTAAAGTCTCATCCATATCTAATATAATATTTGCTATGCCCCAAGATACCTTCCAACTATGACATTCTATGTTCTGTGTTCTAAGGCCTCTTCCAGCTCTAACATTCTATATTCTGAGGTCTATTCCAGCTCAGATATTTAATTCTATGATTCTAGAAAGTAGGGAAATTATGGAAAGCAAAAGAAATAGTGACTTATGGATGAAAATAACTCTGTCTCAGGGCACTGATCTGAGGTGCCAGACATTTTTGTAGGGGGTGACAATTCACCAGGTTCTCGCTTTCTTCTCCTCCTTTGCAGGATTACAGGGTCAACATCTTCTTGCGTCAGCAGTGGAATGACCCTCGATTGGCCTACAATGAGTATCCTGATGATTCCCTGGACCTGGACCCATCCATGTTGGACTCCATCTGGAAGCCAGACTTGTTCTTTGCCAATGAGAAGGGAGCCCATTTCCATGAGATCACCACCGACAATAAGCTCCTGCGCATCTCCAGGAATGGCAATGTTCTCTACAGTATCAGGTGAGGCTCCAGCGACGCCTTCCCCACCCCAACCAGGGGTGACTTCCCATCACCTGCAGGAGCTAAATCCAAGATGGCAGATAACTGAGCAAAGGTAGAATTAGGGGATCATCAACAGAAAAAGGGATGCTGGAAAAAGGGGCAGGTTCAGAGGAACAATGATAAGTTTTGTTCATAGAAAGGACTTCCCCGTATTCACATGAATAGTGAGTAATGCTATGGTAACACTGACAACCAAAGGTTCTGCAAGCAACCAGATGGCTCAGTGGACAGAGAGTTAAACCTGGAGTCAGGAAGATCTGAATTCAAATCCTCCCTCAGATACTTACTAGGGCAAGTCATTTCATATCTCTCAATCTCATCTGTAAAATGAGGATATCAGCACCTACCTCTCAGGATTGTTGTGGAGATAAAATGAAATAATATTTGTAAATGACTTTGTAAATTTTAAAGTGCTAAATAAATGCCAGCTTCAATATTATTTTTTCCATCTCCTAATTCCTCCTCTAAGTCATTCTCCTAAAGAGAAAAGCTTGTAAAGTGCTATACTGGGGCCAAGTTACAAAGGGCATTGAATGCAAAGCTCAGGAATTTCCAATTTTCCTATTGGCCAATGAAGGGCCATAAAAGAGTTCTGAATGCCTCAGTCATAGTTGTACCTTAGGAGGATGATTCCTGTAATTTGTGAAGGATGGTTTAGGGAAAAGAGACAGGGCTGTTACAGCCACTTTGCAGCTCCTCGCACAAGAGGAACTGTCAGCAATAAAGCTTCTCTTCAGGGAGGGGAGGAAACAGATTTATTTATTTGAGTTGTAGGGACAGCTCCTCATTTCTCTTATCATTACACCTCAGACTCTGGGGTCCATACTGACATAAAGGCTGCCACATATTCATTGCATGGGACCACGGGAGTAGGACAATGTGCGCATTTCATCAGATAGCAACCAGGATCAGTAAGAAGGGGATTGGGGATCCGGTGACCCCGTAACGTTGTGTGACACCCTTGTGCATGGGTTAGGATAAAAGTTCAGGCTAGAGGCCACATACCAGCCTTAACAGAAAGAACACTGGATTCAGAATAAATAGAAATGGATTTGAGGGCTGATTTTGTCATTTACTGACTGTGTGACTTGGTGTGGAATAGGGGAAAGTTGGGGATTTAGACTCCAAAGACCAGGATTCAAATTCTAACTCTAGCAACTACCACTTATGTCCCATAGGATTTAGAACTGGAAGAGACCATCTGGTTTAAACCACCAGCCACAGCAGCTAGGTGGTGCAGTGGATAAAGTGTTGCACCTGAAGTTGGGAAGATCTGAGTTCAAATCCTGCCTCAGACACATACTAGCTATGATCTTGGACAAGTCACTTGTCTCTCTTGGCTTCCTTATCTATAAGATAGGAATGATGATGATGATGATGATACCTACTTCATAAGAGCAAATGGGATAACATACATAGAGTATGTTGCAAATCTTAAAGTACTCTATAAATGATGTTTTTTCTGATGATGATGATACCTACTTCATAAGAGCAAATGGGATAACATACATAGAGTATGTTGCAAATCTTAAAGTACTCTATAAATGATGTTTTTTCTTGTTGTTCAGTCATGTCTGACCCTTCATGACCCCATTTGGGGGTTTTTTTGGCAAAGATATTGGAGTGGTTTGCCATTTCCTTCTCCAGCTCATTTTACAGATGAGGAAACTGAGGCAAATGGGATTAAGGTACTTGCCCAGGGTCATACAGCTAGTAAGTGTCTGAGGCCAGATTTGAACTCAGGAAGATGAGTCTTCCTGACTCCAGTCCCGGCACTCTTAACCACTGTGCCACCTTGCTGCCCATACAAATGCTAGCTATTATTATTTCATAGATGAGGAAACTGAGACATGAGAGGGGCAATGGTCACACATGTAGTAACACATATATAGTAAGTAGAAGAATTGGGACTTGAACTCAAGTCCCCAACTCTAAATGCAGAGCTCTTCAAAAAGACCTAGGAGAACAAGGAAAGGGCACAGAGAGAAGATTAACTTCACTGACCTCACATTTTCCTGAGATTTGGTAAACTCACATAGGGGCCCCAAGGGTAGATAAAACTAAATGCAACCAGCCAGGAAGATCTTCACCATCCCCCAACCTATCCAGACCCACTGGTATCCACTCAGGACTATCTTGATGCACATTCCCTTGAAGGCCAAACCCCAAGGACAGCAGGTTAAAAAGAGAGGGTCAGGGAGATGGGGAAGACTGTCCAGAAGCAGTACACTAACCTGTTCTGACAGCTGCTCCACTTTGGAGCTTTGATGTTCAGGACTGAGACAGGACACTTTTCTCTCCATATCTTCCACCCTATCACTCAATCCCCTTCCCAACCTCTGAACAGTATTATTTCAACGGGCCCAGCACCATTGCTAGATGAGGAGAGATAAGGTAAAGTAGGGGTGAACACTAGGCCCTACTCTCATCTTGTATAACCCAAGGGTTCTGGCAACAGGCCACCCCCTCTTTTACATGAAGATGGTGGAGTCTCCTTAGACCAGCTGCCAAAATGACTATTGCTTTGAAGAGCACTTGGGACAGTATGGGTGTATTGCATGTTGTATGTGTGCACATGCATATATTTCAATCAATTAATAAACATTTATTAAGCACCTATTATGTGTCAGGCATTGTGCTAAGTGTTGAGGCTACAAAGACAGAGATAGAAATAAAATAGTTTCCACCCTCAAGGAGCTTTCATTATAACAGGGGAAAAGCATGTACATATGAAGTATTCAGATCATGTAAAGAATCAATACAAAGTCATTTTGGCAGGGAGGCACTAGTTGGAGGAGAGGGAGAGCAGGAAAGGCTTCATGTAGAAAATGTTATTTGAGTCAAGCTTGGATGGAAACTAAGGAAGAGGTGGTAGTGTGGAAGGAGTACAGTTTATGTATGAAGACAGTTCATGCAAAGGGTGTGTGTGTGTGTGTGTGTGTGTGTGTGTGTGTGCAAGGTGAGACGACAAGATAGGCAGAGTACACATACACGTAATCCAACACACCTACTCCGTAACCACACTCTGTTATACACTGCGCTTGCAAATCCAGGGCAAGTCAAACGCTCTTCTTGGGGAGTCATTATTTATATCTTTTGTTTTTATATCACTTATATTTCCAATATAACCCCCCTTGACCCTCTCAGAGAGTTATTCCTTATAATAAATAGTAAAAAAGCTAATAACTACATCCAAAAAATCTGACCATTTATGTAGCATTCCACACCCATAGTGCCCCACCTCTGCCAAGAAGGTGGTAAAGGTGTCATCTTATCACTCTTTGAGACAGGAGGAGTATGAAAGGAGGGAGAAGGAACAACACCTGCCCCAGCTATCTAGGGACTCCAGATGCTCAGAGCGCCCCAGCTGGACTTATCCCCAGAGGACATGAGGTTGACAGCTCCCTCCTCTTACTTACAATTCCCTAGAGATTGAAATGCAAAATATCCAGATGCAGAGGAAAGGAACAGGACCGCCAGACGCTCTCCCTCTCCCGGCTACCAGATGAGAATTATGTCCCCAGATACTCCTCTGTCTGATGCAGCCAGTAACCCAGCCACCCCACACAAGCAAATCTTAGGACACAGAATGTCAAAGCTAGAAAGAACATATAAAACAGAATGTCAGAGCTGGAAGGACATTAAAACATAAAAAGTTAAATGTCAGAGCTGGAAGAACTCTTAGAGTTAGAAAGGAGATCACAGAAATCATCTTGTTCAAATCTTTCATTTATAGAGAAGAAGATTAAGGGAGTTAGGAGTTAAGATCTTGCCCCAAGACCATGCAGTCACTTGGTAGGAGAGCTAGATTCTCAATATTGCTAAAATGTATACGTTACTTTCAAGTTTACAAAGCATTTTCCTCACAGGGTTAAGTGCAAATATTATTATGCCCATTTCATAGATGAGAAAACTGAGACTCAAAGATGGGAAATGATTTGTCTGATGTCTCACAGATAGGAAGTCAGAGCCCAAAATCAAAGCCAAGTATTCTGATTCTACTCCAGAGTTCTATCCATTACATGACATTGCTATCTTACTCGAATTTCCAATTGTTTCTAGCTGAGAGGATTCTTTATGGTCTCACCACACTTACAATAAGCTGAAAGAATAGGTGCTTCTGCCTGCATCATCTTGAAATCTTTACCCAAAAGATAACAAAATAAGTTTTGATAAAGATAAGATAATAATTATTCTAATATAAACAACCTGTATTCATATAGCCTTTTAAAGTACACAAAACACTCTGTGAATTAACTCAGTTTATCTACACAATAACCATGTGAGACATCCCCATTTTACAGAGGCCCATAGGTTCTCAAAACTAAAAAAGAAACGTGAACATGGAACATAGAATGTTAAAACTGGAGGTGACCTTAAAATGTAATACAAAATCCCAGAGCCGCAATGAATTTTGGAGACCATCTCATCCAACTCCCTCATTTTAACCAGAAGAAAATTGAAGCCCAGCAAAGGGAAGGGTCTTGACCATTGTCACACAATGAGTTAGAGGCATAACTTTAAAACTACTTTTTAAAATGAAGGCCATTCACAGAAATGCACTGTCAGAGGAGCTGTGAATTGATCCAGCTATTCTACAAAGCAATTTGGAATATGTGAAGAAAGTGACTAAAATGTCCATATTCTTTAAACCAGAAAATCCTCTGCAAGACATATATACCCCAAGGAGGTCAAAAGACAAAAAGAAAGGCTCCTATACACCAAAATATTTAGAGCAGATCTTTTTGTGGTAGCAAAGCTGGAAACAAAAGTAGATAATCACCAACTGGGGAGTGAGTAATCAAATTGTGGGACGTGAACATAATGGGATATTACTATGCTGTGAGAAACAAACATAAAAAACACAGAGAAGTATGAAAAGACTTATATAAACTGAGAAAAAGTGGAGTAAACAGAACCAGGAAAACAATATATACAATGACTATGAAAATGTAAATAGAAAGAACAACAAATAAAATGAAATGCTGATAAATTATAATGGCCAAGCTTGTCCCCAAAGGAAGAAAGGAATGGAAGGAGATAAGCATTTATTAAGCAACTACTGTGTGCCAGGCACTGTGTTAAAATATTATCTCATTTAATGCTCACAACAACCCTGGGAACGAGGTGCTATCATTATCCCCATTTTAAAGTTGAGGAAACAGGAAAACAGAGGTTAATCAATTTGCCTAGGCTCACACAGAGAGTAAGTGTATGAGGCCACATTCGACTTCAGATCTTCCTGACTCCATGCCCAGTAGTCTATCCACTGCACCAGCTAGCTGTCTCAAAGAGTGATAAGATGACACCTTTACCACCTTCTTGGCAGAGGTGGGGCACTATGGGTGTGGAATGCTACATAAATGGTCAGATTTTTTGGATATAGTTATTAGCTTTTTTACTATTTATTATAAGGAATAACTCTCTGAGAGGGTCAAGGGGGGTTATATTGGAAATATAAGTGATATAAAAACAAAAGTTATAAATAAAAATCTATTTTTGAAAAAATGAAAGTCACTAATATGTAAAAATGAGAACAGTGAACTAAACTGAAGTGAGATGCAAGAGATCTGAGGACTTGACCAAGTTCTTTAGGTCCCTATCTGGTTTCTATGAGGCCCTCTGCCTAGTTTCTCTGAGGCACCAAGTGTCTCATTAGCAAGGCTAATCCAACAATTATTTCTGTTTCCTTCTGTCCTCAGGATTACTCTGACTCTGGCCTGCCCCATGGATTTGAAGAATTTTCCCATGGATGTCCAGACATGCATTATGCAACTGGAGAGCTGTAAGCCCCCTAAGCCTGGGTCCTTTTGTTCCATTTCACTTGCCCCACTCCACAGAAGCTCTGGGGAGATGCCATGAGACCCCAGAGACAATTTGAACTTAACCCAAAATCTTGGTGGGAGAGAGGTATAAGGGAGATTCATCTTCTGCTCCTCTCTCACCCACTGCTGTCCTAGAAATCTTAGGACTGGACTAAACCAAGAGCAGAAATCATAGGGATTATTTTTCATGAAAATATTTTGTGGTTTCTATCATCCCTGAAACTTAAACTAGAGAATTGTCATTAGGGTCCCAGGCTCTGAGAGCTAGAAGATAATTAAGGGAATCTAATCTAATCCCTGAACAAGAATTCTCTCAGAAACATCCTCAACATTCAGTTTCTACCTGAAGACTTCCAGTAATGGAGAACTCATCTCCTGAGGCAGCTCATTCCACTTTCAGATAGCCCTGATTATTATGGAGCTTTATTCGGTTATATTGAGTCTCACTGCAACTTCTAGTCACTGTTCCCAGTTTTCCCCTGTAGGGCCAAGCCAAACCAGTCTCCCACATGGTAGCCCTTCAAATACGTGAAGGCAATGACCATATTCTTCCTAAGTCTTCTCTTCTCCAGTCTAAAAATCCCCAGCCCTTAGAAGTGTTCCTCATATGTCATGGTTACTAGTCCTAGTCCTAGTACTAATAGAACATGGTCACTGCATGCTCTTGGTCACCCTCTCATGGGTGTCCTCTCTAAAATGGCATACCTAGAACCGAACACAATATTCCAGTAATCCAGATTTTGGACAGACAACTGAGCAAAGATGAAAAAACTACTGTGAGTCTGACTAGGGCAGAGGACACTAGAACTATCATTTCCCTCATTCTGGATATTATGACTTTATAAATTCAGCCTAAAAATCACATTAGCTTTTTTGGCCACCAGGATATGCAGGTGACCCTTTTTGATGAGCTTGAAGCCACTAGAAGCCCCACATGAATCTTTTTTTTTTCATAAGCACTGCTGTTTTGACACATCTTCCCCATCCTGCCCCTTACACTTGAATGCAAGTGAAGCCCTTAACATTCAGTCCTATTAAATTTCATCTGATTAGATGTAGCCAATGTTCCTAGCCTGTCCCGATTTTTCTGGATCCTGATTCAGTCTGGGGTGTTCTCCCCAATCCCGGATTGCTTTAGCCTAGTGCTCCCCCTGAAGTAATTCCACCTTCTCCCATCTAACCACAGTTGGCTATACCATGAATGACCTCATCTTCCAGTGGCAAGAGCAAGGGGCAGTGCAGGTGGCCGATGACTTAACCCTGCCCCAGTTTATCCTGAAAGAAGAAAAGGATTTGCGATACTGCACCAAACATTATAACACAGGTGAGCCAGATTCCTGAAGAGCCCCAGAGCTCGCACTTTCAGTCCTGAACTCCCCTCACTCAACAAGCTTATACTATGTACTATGTGCCCAGCTCTGAACTTAGCAGAGAGAATACGAAAATCTACCTATGTGACCTTAAGCAAGTTTATTTGCTGCTCTGTATCTCATTTTACTCCCCCAGCAATAATACTGTCTTTCCTTCCCTCGCTCCCTCCCAGGGATTGTAGAATTTAAGAACTGGAAAGGACCGGAGAAGTCATTAGTTCAGTCTCCTGTTGAGGATACAAGGCCACACCACATAAATAATGGGCAAGTGTGCTTGGATAGTAAAAGTTGAACATGAAAGGCTTCTGCCAGTGATACTTTGAAAGAAATCGCACAGGGTGCCTTTCAGGCCCTCAGAGACGCAGAGCCATCAGTGCAAGTTCCCTGCTGTTACATTGCAGCTAGAAGGTTTATATAGTCAGGTAAACCACCAATATCTTTCAAGAAGCCCGAGGCATAGCCTCACACACAGCTCTTTCCCGAAGCTCCTTACAAAGGCCTGAGAATGAATTATCCTAGAACCAAATGAGAGTAAAACCCCATTCATTCAACCAACATTCTCAGAGCAAAGAAAAATTCTCAGGCTCCAACTCATGCTGCCCTCTGCAGGATGTATGAAAATATGGCATGCTGAGTAGATGACCAAGAGGCAAGACTTCATGGGGTGGTATTTCACCCACCTAAGGATACACACTAATTTTAAAAGCATACATATATGTATATATGAACATACACATACATGTTTTGTTGTTGTTTAGTCATTTTAGTTGTGTCCAACTCTTCATGACACCATTTGGGATTTTCTTGGCAATGACACTGGAGTGGTTCGCCATTTCCATCTCCAACTTATTTAACAGATAAGGAAACTGAAGCAAACAGGGCTAAGTGACTTGCCCAGGGTCACATAGTGTCTGAGGCCAGATTTGAACTCAGGAAGATAAGTCTTCCTGACTGAAAGCCCAGGACTCTATTCACTCTATCCACTGTACCACCTGGATGCCTCATATGTATAAAATATATATGCATAAAAGCATATCTGTATTTGAATATATATACACATATATGTATATATATACATATATATATACATATATATATACATACACACACACACACACATATATGTGTATCAATGATAAATGGGCAAGTTATATGTAGAATTCTGGAATGTAAATGCCAAAAGAGTCCAAGATCACATAATTAGCCAGTGGTAAAGCCTGAACTAGAATGCAGGTCTACTGCCCCCTAGACCAAGGGTCTTACCATTATGAGTCTCCTACTTAGATAGACAATCACTCTCTCACTACAATTGCTTTCAGGCAAATTCACCTGCATAGAAGCTCGCTTCCACTTAGAACGACAGATGGGCTACTACCTGATCCAGATGTATATCCCCAGCCTGCTCATTGTCATCCTCTCCTGGATCTCTTTCTGGATCAACATGGATGCTGCACCTGCTCGGGTGGGCTTGGGCATCACCACAGTGCTCACCATGACCACCCAGAGCTCTGGCTCTCGAGCATCTTTGCCTAAGGTAAATACAAACAAATACCACTCCCCCCTCTGGCCATACAATACTAGAATAAAGTTGAGTCAACAAGCATTTCTTAAAGGTCTACTATGTGTCAAACGTTATGCTAAATACTAGGGACAGATCTCTTCCCTCAAGGAGTTCAATGAGGGGAGATCGCTCTCCTAATAAGAGGAGATAACATGTAACCAACTATATACAAGCAAGCTATCTATAGGGGATGTTACAAATGATATCAGAGAAAAGGCATTAGCATTAAGGAGACTAGGAAAAGTTTCTTGTAGAAGGTGGGATTTGAAGGAACCCAGGGAAGCCAGGAAGTGAAGATGAGGAGAGAAAGAATTCCAAGCAGAGAGGAGAGACCGTATAAATGCCTGGAGTCAGGAGAGAAGAGTGTCATGTGCAAGGAACAGTAAGGAAGTCAATGTCACTGGATCACAGAGTTATTGATAGAGGGATCCTACCCATTCTTATCCTCTGCACCATCTCCTACCCAATTTAGAGTGAAGAGAAGGCAAACAGCTTTCTATTTCACACAACTTCCTACTCAATGCAACATTTCACTATCCATAATTCCACCAAATGCAATATTCTATTCCACCGAATATCCTACTAGGTATAATATTCCACTTGATCCAATATTCCCTTTGACCTGGCATTCCACCAAGTAAAAAGAAAATTTACTTGATTTAACATCTCTACAATCTAACATTCTGTTCACTCCAACATTCTGTTAGCTACAACACTCTACCCAAGCCAATATTCTGCTTAATCCATCATTCCCCTCAATTCACCTTTTTGCTAGGCACAGTGTTCCGCTCAATTCACTCTTCCAATAGTTACTTCACTCAGCTTGATCCAACATTCCACTCAATCCAATAACCCAACAGAAAAAGCCATTCAATCCAACCTTTTTCTCCATGCCATTGGTTCTGTCTGTCTGTCTCTCTCTTTCTCTCTCTCTCTCTCTCTCTCTCTCTCTCTCTCTCTCTCTCTCTCTCTCTCTCTCTCTCTCTCTCTCTCTCACTCTCTCTCTCTCTCTGTCTCTCCACTATTCCCCATCCCATTCCACACACCCCCACCCTCACCCCATCCCATCCAGGGAAAAGTGAGAGGAATTTCCATCATGCTAAATAACGCATTCTACTCCTCTTTCTTCCCTGCACTAGGTCTCCTATGTGAAAGCCATTGACATCTGGATGGCAGTCTGTCTGCTCTTCGTGTTCTCAGCACTGCTGGAGTACGCCGCTGTCAACTTCGTGTCCCGGCAGCACAAAGAGCTACTCAGGTTCAGGAGGAAAAGGAGACACCACAAGGTAAGACTCGGGCCACTGCTCCAGGGTGGGCAATAGAAAATGACCCGATATGCATCAGCCCTTAGGGTGGCCTATTCCATTGGAACTGAACATGGCAGCACAAAATTATGGAATATTAGAGAAGGAAGGAGTCATCTAGGCCCAACTGTCCCATTTTACAGATGACAAAGGTAAAGATCAAGAAGGGGAAGTTCCAAAGGCAGAGAGCTAAAATCCGTAACTGTTGTTCTTTGTTGTCTCTCTGATATAAGACCCAAGTTGCCCAGAACATATTAAAAGGGCACAGAAAGTGACAGAAAAAGAGAAAGAGAGAACCACCAAAGACAGGGGCAAGATATTAAGACAAAAGAATGAATTGCTAACAGTGGAATGTCAAGCATTAAAATAGGCCAGTAAGAGAAAGGGCTGGGGACAGAGTCATTCTTGGAAAATGGACTGATGTTGCAAATGCCATCAGTATGCTGCTAGTGCATCCATTTGGCTAGAAAATTTAGTCTAGTACATTCTGGTGGTTTAGAGTCAGATAAGACACCCCACCCCATGCATCTATATGAGTGGGATAGAGAGGAAAGCAAGGGTTAGCCCTCTGCCATTCTGCAGAGCTTCCTAGAGACCCCTTAAATGGGGAGGTGGCATTTTCCCATCATGAATTGCGTAGATGTTACAGCAGAGCTCGTTTTGTTTTAACTGTTACAAGAAGAAACTTTTTCTTTTAAAAAGAATCATGTACTTTCTGCCTTTTTAAGCAAGGATGTCAAACATCATGTGATACTGTATTAATTTGCCAAGGTGGGTGGAAAGGCAAAACAGGAAAGAGGGAGACCAATTAGAAAACTACCATAAAAGTCTCAGCAAGAAGCAATAAGGATGTGAACTAGGGAGGAGGTAGTGAGCTGCCATCAGAACGATGCTGGTTTTGGAGTCACAGAACCTTGGTTCAAATCTAGCCCAGCCTGGAATCTCAAGTAACATTTGTTGCTATTGTGATCTTGGTTAAATCATTTGAAGTCTCTGAGACTCAGGTTCCTCATCTATAGACTTTGAAGGGGTTAGAGTAGATCTCTTCTAAAGTCCCTTCCAGTTCATGGAATGCACAATGATGTTGCACTTTCTTGTTGACTGAGGTTCATAATTATGACCGTCACTCGTTGTACTAAATTGTGTAATAGGTTGTTTATCCCTACTATGAATGATGCCAGGCTAACTCCAATTTCTGAGGCTATATAGTATCTTCTGCAAGGTAAGATGGTTAACTGGTTGATCCATCAGGTATTTTTCAGCTCTAACATTTTAGGACTCTCTACCAAATAGCATATTCAATTCAATTCAGTGAGCATTTATTAATATATTCAGACTCTTTTTTGCTATGTCTGACACTTCATAACCCTATTTGGGGTTTTCTTTGCAAAGATACTGGAATGGTTTGCCATTTCTTTCTCCAGCTCATTTTATAGATGAGGAAACTGAGGCACATAGGGTCAAGTGATTTGGCCAGCACCACACATCTACTAAAGTGTCTGAGGGCCAGATTTGCATTTAGGAACATGAGTGAGTCTTCGTGACTCCAGGCTTGGTGCTCTATCCTCTGCACCACCTAGCTGCATTCATTAAACTCCTAACTATATGTCATTTACTGTTAGATGGATGGATAGAGTGACAAAAATGCAATAATCACTTCTCTCAAGAAGCTTATTTTATACTAGAGGGAAACAATATGTACACAAAGTACATTGACAAAATTCTATCCATTAAGATACAGTCAATTTTACTTTTTGTGATCTCGTTTGGTGGTATATCTGTGTCCGGAAGCTTCTGACACTCTTCTACAGAAAGGGCCATGATAAATAGATGTGAAGCTTGGTAGTAATGTAAAGATTTTGATCCTCTTTTTTTCTTCATCCCAAACCATATTTTTCAAAGCATCTTTGCCCTGGTTCCCTTTTTATTGATCTTCATTATGTGTTAATTCCTTAAGAGGATCATGTTGACTTCTTCCAATGGTTTCTCAACTCCTATACTCTATTACAGCTATTGGCACACAAGCCATAATTATCTTCATGGTGATGTTTTTGCCTATGTGAATCATGAGCATGAGAAGGCAAGATGACCACTCTTCCTAAGAAATGATGTTTCTTGTTGCCTCTGGAAGCACGATGAAACTCATTCCAAAAGCTCTTTTATCTGTTTCTTCAAAAGAGAACCCTGTGAGCTATCCTTCCCTTTAGCAGCAACTTCCTTAAGTCTTTCTGATTTCATCTGTAACAAAAATGTCAGTGTTGATATGGTTCAGTTTCTCTAGTTGAATGTTAACATGTGGTCATCAGGAAAAGATCACATCCTTAGAGTTAAATTAATGTTCACAGATAATATAAAAATGTTTAATTCTTAGCACCCTCTTGTTTGCCATTCTGCAGAAGATAAAAGAGCCTGCAAAGACACAAGGGCCATTTGGTGTTTCTATCTGTCCCATAGGTTGCTACAGCTGTAGAATACATTAGCCAGTGACTGTCCTATTGGTGATGAGCCCTTCCATACTAAGCTAAGCTCAATCTGCTTCTAGAATCAGATCTAAGCCTCTCTAGCGTGATAGAACCTACAAGAGTCTGATCTCATTGGAGTACCTTGTAGAACTCAGGGTCACCTCTATGCCATGATGAGGCATCAAAGCAGTGTTTTTGTGGAGTGTTGGAAGGATCGCTCTGGCAAAAAGTTATTCCTTCCTACAATTAGAAAAAAGTTACTATCACATAATTTATGTAGTGTTTTACATACATCATTTCATTTGATCCCCCAACAATCTTGTGAGATAGGTATCACTATCTTATTATGATAATAACAGAATTTATATAGTGTTTTAAGGTTTGCAAAGAACTTTATATATATTAACTCATTTAATCCTTACAACCTGATGAAGTAGGTGCTAGTATTATTATCCCCATTTTACAGATAAGGAGAGTGAAGCTGAAAGTTTTACTTGACTCGCACAGCTAGGAAGTATCTGAGACAGGATTCAAATCCAGGTCTTCCTGACTCCAAGTTCATCCACTATTCCAAGTTACTTCTCATAGTGATAATGGCTTCCAAATGAATTTTGAATAAATGGCTTTAAAACAGTTCTCAAGTTTGCAGCTATGCACATGCAAGAGGTGGCAGATAGCGTGGTGGAAACAGTGAAAGACCTGGCTGGCTGTGTGAGCCTCAGCAATTCCTTCCCATCTCAACTTCAAGTTCCTCATTTGTAAAATGGAAATAATCCTTTCACTTCTTCCATTACAGAGCTTTTGTGCTTTTTAAACTATAAAATGCCATATGACTGGGAGCTGTCGTCTGATTTTTCGTTGTTTTTCTGTCTCCCTGGTTGTTAGGCTGTTGCCTGTTACAATGAGTGCTTTCAGTGGGCCTCCCTTGTAAGAGTCTCTTCCCCTCTTCTAATCTTTAAAGGGCCTAGAAAAACACACTTTCTTCTAGGAGGGACTTGGCTATTTTCCTCAGCTTTACTTGCTGTTTATCAAGTTTAGTGTGGGTTACCTGCCACCTACTGGCAAGTGTAAGAAAAAGCAGGCACCATGCAGATTTGAGCTCCACAAGTCCGCATTAATTCAATTGATCAGCAAGCATTTAAATGCCTACTGCATGCCAGGCAACATGTTAGGATACAGGCACAAAGAATGAAACTCTCTACTCACAAAGAGCTTATATTCCAATGGGGAAGACATGTAAAAATATATGCTGCATTAATATAAAGTAAATAAAAATAGATATACGTATATATACATAGTTATTCTGAAGGACCTACATCTTAGGTAAATGTTTCAACCAACACGATTAATTAGTACCCACACTCTGTATTTTAAAGTCTAAGTTTAACTGGTCAGTATTTAAATAGATTGGAGTTATTAGTACATAAAGTGATGGTGTTTTTGTTTTCCAGTTCTTCTCCATCACTCTTCTTCCCCACAATACTTTTTGGTTTCTATGTGGTTAATACATAGCTAATAGCTCTTAATTTCTTTTATGTTTTTAGCTGCTTAGGTCTATCTGGATGTAGGGGTAAAAATTCATTTGACAGAAATACCTGTGTATATTTAAAGACCCAATTGCTCCTCTGGAGCTTGTACGCTAAAGAATGATTAATCTGTGTAATAAACTGATTACTACACTCATTACATATAAATATAATAGTTAGATATAAGGTAGCTAACGAAGAAGGGCACTGGCATTTTGGGTGGGGGCCAGGGGAAGGATAGCAATCGGGGAAGGGTAGCAATCAGAAAAGGGTACCTGATATTTGGGGGTGTGTGTGTGTGTGTGTGGGTGTGTGTGTGTGTGTTTCGTGCTACTTCTTGTACACAAGTGATCACTGACAATATGCTACAGGCTAATTACACTTGTGAAAATGATAATAACAACATATTTCTGTAGAGTTCTTAGTTTCAGAAGGACTTAAACATTGTCATACTTGAGCCTCACAACCACTCTATGACGTACATACTAGAGATATTATTATCTTCATTTTACAGATGAAGAAACAAATTCAGAGAGGTTATTGATTGTCCCTGGTCTCAAAATATCTGGGGCAGAATCTGAACCCTTGACTCTCAGTCTAATGAGCACTTCTTAAACTGAGGGTCACAACCCCACATGGACTTGCAAAAAAATTGGCAACAATAAAAGGTTTCTGAATGTGCAACAACCAAAAATTAATTAAAAATCCATTGCGTAACGAACCCAAGGTTTTTCTGGCGGCACTTGCCCACGTTGCATCGCGCAACTTCGCTGCAACCTTGGTTCTGAACACACAGCATGTGCACTTTGCACTGCGCATGCCCTCAGGCCACACAACTCCGAGGAATGCTGCCAAAATGTGAAAAGGGGTCATGAGTGGAAAAAGTGTAAGAATCCCTGGTCTACTATACTACACAGCCACTGGTGTATATCTTTCTATTCCCCTGCAATGTTGATTCTTTTGTGGTTCAGTCACATAATATCACTGGGAGATT